GCACCACTCCCGGCCTGAAAAAAATGCAAAACGGATCGGATCACTTCCAGACAGTCGCGCGATGTAGACAGATGTACAGATAGACAGATGGACCAGTTAACATGGACCAACAATCTCACCAGTGTTGCAGGATCACCACGGTTGCCTTTTTTGCAATACATGCGTTCCTGTCTTCCGTCTTTGAATTATTGCAAGTGCGAACTGAGCAAAACAAAATCCTTACTGTACGGGAGAAACCGTACTACCATTCAGCCCCGTAACATTCTTTCCATAGGGGAAACTTTGGTCGCTCTGCGGGACGGGATAAAATTATCCGATCGGAATAAAATTTTGCACACATCCTTGTGTCATAGTATCGACAAGATTTCCGACCCGGCCCGACGAATCCGACAAACTTTTCCAAAATGGACCACCCTAAGGCGCACCTTCAGTTAATGGAACTATTTTAAAACTGTTTTCAAATAGAAGGCGCACCACATTATAAGGCGCATAGGATAGAAGCTACAATAGTGGCTGCAGTTGCGTTATGCATACACTAGATGGAGCAACACTAAAAGGAATACAAGACAGTCAGGGGACACCCTGATCCGGTTGCCAGCCAATCCCATGGCACACTCACATTATAAGGCGCATAGGATAGAAGCTACAATAGTGGCTGCAGTTGCGTTATGCATACACTAGATGGAGCAACACTAAAAGGAATACAAGACAGTCAGGGGACACCCTGATCCGGTTGCCAGCCAATCCCATGGCACACTGACACGAACAACCATCCATGCTCACACTCACACCTAGGGACAATTTAGAGTGTTCAATCAGCCTGCCATGCATGTTTTTGGAATGTGGGAGGAAATCGGTGTACCCGGAGAAAACCCACCCAGGCCCGGGGAGAACCGAAATGAAACATATAAATACAAATGGAATGACAAAATAACAAATGAAAGGCACACACACCTCGTGGGCTCACATTCACAGGGCGCTAAATATCCTTAGAAGTCTTGCGTGTTTCCTTTTTCCTTCGTTTAATCAGTAGTTACCTATGCTTCATAATGAATGTACAGAGCTCACTGAGTAGTTGTCTGTTTGAGTGTGTGTTGGCAAATGCACATGTTAACTAGTGTCGGGTAGAACCCTTTTACGTTCCAATGGGTTCCTGCTAATAATCACCACTAGATGGCATAGGAACACACTAACAGGAAAACAACTCAATGGGGAATATAAAGAAACTGTAACACCATAAATAAGACGCATCGGATTATAAGGTGCATGGTCGCCTTAGGTGCGGCTTATAGTGCGGAAAATACGGTATATACAGTAACCTACCTTTGTTCCCCAGTAGACTCAAGACATTTGGGTTTGACATCAAAAACTGTTTATGAGAATATCATTTCAGGTTTTCACCTTGATTTCATACACAACTTCGAAGATGTTTTTCTCGCAAAACCATTCAAAGAGATAGACTTGCTGTAGTTGCAAATCATAACTTTAATGACGGCATCAAGTCGAGGACTCACTCATCTTCTGTGAGGCTTGTCATCCTCATCCTCAGCTGTGGTTTATTTTCTCCCTTCATTTTCCTCTTTTGCAGGTAAAATGCATGTTCTATGTGCTTTAAGTCATCCACTTCTATCTCCTTCCGAACTTTTTTGTTGTTTTGGCAGTGTGCTTGGGGTCACACCATGCCAAATGATGAATGGCCTTCCGATCAGCTTGGCTACATGTTTCTTTTAAATGGCAGACACAAGATGACTTCTGAGTTCACTTTACTGCCTACCTTGCTATACTATTACCTCCACTGTTTGACAGATGAACTTATATATTTGGGATCAAGAACAGATATTTTGATTCTCTCTCTCTCTCTCTCTCTC